AGTTGTCTTAAAGTATGACTTATATTTTCTTTTATATTAAAATATATTGGGTAAAACTTTTATACACCTCTAAAGGTGACTTCAAAATATTAGTGACTTTTGCAGCTCACCCATAATTGGGTCTCCTTTCTGATAGATTCCTGATCGCTTCTTTTAACTTCTTTTATTTAAGTGTAAAAGCATCAAAGACAAACCGAGAAACAGGAGCTGACTGCATTCGGAATAAGCGCTGCATGTTCAAAGTATGACTTTTCCCAGCGTCTTGTGCGGCTCCTTTTCTTCCTTCCCGGAATCCTCCACGTCCTGCAAGTCCTTGCGTTAGTTCTACTCATAATTCAGGAAGTGTGCAACGCTTTTTGTACTGCGTACTTGCATTTCATAACAAGCTGCGCTGCTGCCTGTCTCCAGGACAGCTTAATAAATGTCACAAAAAGTGTCCAAGCGCGGAAAGTTTTTAAAAATCAAGAACCAACTCTCAAAGTTAACAATTTAATTTCTCCGCAGCGCCACCTTTTAATAACAGCCATTTAAAATGTAACGAAAACAGGGAGTGATGGAAAATGCAGCCAGGCATTGTCCGGTTTTAATGAGCCTGCAAATAAGCAGCCGGCAAAAGAGCGAAACAAATTTGCACATAACATTAATGCTGGCAAACATTTTGATAATAATTAATATAAAAATCAGTGGGGCAGCCAAACGCATGCTGTCTGCGTTTATTGTTGTTTAATTAATCAGCCATTAAGCACACAGTGCGGTCGCACGTGCACAATTTGTCATTGATTAATTAAAAATCTGTAGCACCTAAAATTGCAACTAAATGGGGAAATGTGCAAAGTATTCATTAAACTCAATGGGAATATTGAATGCATTTTCTGTTTAACAAAATGATTATTCGTGGATTAAAACTATTGTTGTGGTTGAAAATATTAATGTATAAAATATCACACAAAGGCTTTAAAATGTATAAAAGCTTTTTAAAGTTTGCTAAAGAGGATTGTTTGTCATTTGCAATTGTCATTTTTAATTGATTGCATTTTTTTATAACTGGTGGTCAAACATATGGTTTTTGGTATCAAACATTAAACATTCCAACATTATAGTTCGCATTTTTAAATCCAGAATAAATGAGCTAAAAATTTGGAACTACTAAGCATAATCACAGGAAAATGCTTTTATGTTTTCAACATTAAATAAGTGTGAGTTTCCCACTTTAATGAGCCTTTAATCATGTCTGCGAATTAACGATTTTGTTGGGCACGTTCCACAAATTTTCATATTTTTTACTTGGCATTAAATAATTAGCCGCGAATGAAGCCCGAAAAACAGTTGCAATTAGCGGCACACAAATTGCACTTAATTATATAATAAATTCAATTGACAGCTGCGCTTTTTGCTTCACTCATTTTCACAGGGATTTTGTTCATAATTTCTGCATTATTTATGAGTTTAGCCTTATCTTTATTTATGCACTTGTTTGCCATTATGATGCAATTATCGCGATATTTAATACTTTTCATTTTCCCACACTTTGTGATACTTCGCCAAGTTTGTTGTCGACTAATTGGCTTTTGTGGCTTTATCCGATTGCCAGAATGACGTTAATTGTGATTAAATCTTGACCAACCTGTTCCGAAATTACGCCCCAAGCAATTTTCCAGCTGTAATTGAAGATTGTTGCTCAGAAAGTGCTTACAAAACCTATTTTGCTTCCCTTTACAATCTCTAATTTGCCTCCGGCTGAAGGCACAAAAATGGGAAAGGCAAAATGGCAAACTGAAAATTCAATCAAAAGTGTATACAGTACGGAATTTCATCAGGCATTCCGCTCCATATCAAAGCAAAAAAAAAGGAGGAAAGAAATATTACAAATAGATTTCAATATCTGGATAAATTTATCAGAAAACAAAATCCCCAGCAAAAGCAAAGTTTTTCATTCTTTAGCCGAAAATTCTATTTTTTTCGTCAGATGAAAACTTTTTGGGAAAAAACTTTGTTGTTATGCGCAGATTTCATTTGGATTTGTTTAAAAACGAAACATATTTTCTTGCCAGCCCGAAGATTAAAATATATTGTATACGTATGGAGAATAACTGAGGGGCAGATGCAAATTGGGGAACTGGAAAAGGCTCCGCACAATGCCAAATGGCAGGTAAAACCCGCGCCAGACTGTAGACCAACAAACATTTACATAGATACTTCACTTCGTTTGCATATTTTTTAGTCCAGCTGATTGAGGGGTAATCATGGGAATATTAAGACAATCACAGGGATAAATACATCGCAGAAAAATCATTTAAGATTTTTTGTCGGATTTAAAAAGTCTGATTATTTTTATAACAAACAATTAAGATATTTTCAACATTATTATGTGGTTCTGTAAACTAATATAAGTGTGTTATTTGACAAATATTCAATTCAAAGAACAAGTTCCCAATGCAAAATATTTAATTTCATAAAACAAAAATGCTTAAAGAAAAAGTTCATAAATTATTTTTATGACTAAATATTATGTCTCCATAATCTTATTAAGTTTGAACACAGGTTATTTACAATTCGATCAAATTCACAATTTAATCTCGCCGAGTCGACAATGTGCCCATTAGAATTTACATGCAAATTCGTTTTGTGCAATTTCCAATGATTTCCCATTCGCTGATAGCTGATGGCTGATACCAACCCCGGGTTGCCCACGGAGGATGAGATGCTGCAGGCTTAAATCTGTGGTCAACTAACTGTCAGCGCATATTACGCATACGCCCCATTCGCCACTGGCTAGGCAGAATGATAAATGACGTCAGCGGGCTGGGTCAGGGCATATTTTGCGCTGTATTTAGCAGCTAACCAAGCCGTATTAATTAACTTTTATGATGGGCCCGCTGCTCGCAAAAGTGGGCCGAAGAAAGTGGGTTAGATGAGTGCTCTACTGTGCGTATGCGTAATATTTCATTATACGGCCATGGCAACCTCAGCGGCCTCCCACGTCTGCCTTCGGATTTTATCTAGGGCTCTCTCCTTTGGGGGCCCACAAGATTTATTGCCTGCTTGAAAGATAAAGTCATTATGATGGCATTATGAAAAGGGAAAAGACGACGCCGTGCGGCATTTAGGAGATATGAATCTTTGATGCATGTAATTGCCCCGGAACTCTGCCCATATGTGTGGCCCTGTTTATCATTGATTTTCCTCCGGCTTTCCATTTATGGTAATTTCATACTTCCGACTTTTTATCGCTTGTCTTGCACTAATTAAAATTTCATTAGCCACACTTCGTCGGGCCATCCATCCATCCATCCATCCATTCCAGGGCGACCCTTTAACTTTTGTGATCCCCACCACGACATGCATTAATTATGCATGCCAGAAGTCAAGGCGGCTGAAACGCTCAGCTGACAGCTGTCACCGCAGACAATCAACCGTGTCCCGCCCCCAAGCACATATAATCAATAATTTTCACCGATGCCAACAGCACACACACGTTTTATTATATTACTATATATCGCCAAACTGCAGCTAGGCAACATTCTATTTTGCTCTTGCCGCTCTAAACTTTTCCGCCTTTCTGGCATTGTCCATTTGGCAGACTTTCAAAAGTGCCAAAAGAAATCGCAGACACATAGACATGGCGCCTACACATTGGGCTACAAAATAAAAAAAGGGCCGACAAAATGGCGGCTCCTTTTCGAAATGGCAGCGGGTCAGCGATGCCAAACGCCATTTCAAGGTGCACTCTTTAAGTGCCGCGCATCCGCCGCACTAAGTGCTTTTGGTGATCAAAAAACTGGGCTTAACTTTGAAAGACTTTGTACTCTTATTCAGGTACAAAACTTTTGATTTTAATTTTTGGTTCAGAAATTACTTCTTTGTTTTACAAGTACAATGACCTTTTGTGTTCTTGAGACTCAAAAGTTAATACATTTTTGATCGTGTTTGTTGAAATGATTTAATATTTGGACATTGATATAAAATCTAAATATTTTTTTAGAAATTACTGCTTTGTTTTACAAGCATAATGACCTTTTGTGTACTTGTTTGTTTATACATTTTTGATCCTGTTTGATAATTCCAATTTTATTTTATACATAAATGTTTTCAAAATATTTGTGCTTTAGTATAAAATCTTATAGAAATGCCTGCAAGTTAATATACTACTCAGTTAACGCGGTTAACGTGGGCTTCTTACTTCAATAAAATTTTACGTTTTTTGGAAATTTTTAAAGGTATTTGCACCACCCCTTAAGTGAAACCAAACCCGGCCCCAATCCGCTCGACTCATTTCCTTTTTGGCTTTTCGAATTCTTGCCTGCTCTCCGGGCGCAGATTCAATTTCACTGACGGGCTGCCGGCGGCTGCATCGATAGCGCATATGTTGCCAGTTGCTCGTATCGTGTGGCAAGAAGTTTATTGGAATCGATCGAAGCGACTCCGACTCGGCGGTGCCCCAAAATAAAAAAAAAAACCAGGGAGCTCAGGCCCGTGCAGTTGCCATTTGCATACCAATTGGAGTGGGCAACAGAGTGCCAGGAAATTTACTCAGATTTATGTTAATTTATTGAATTTAATTTGATTTTCTTTCACTGTATCGATATGTTGTGTGTCCGGGAGTAAATCTCGACTGCGAATAAATTCAATCAAGTTTGGCGCATAAATTACACCTTTTTTTGGCGCCACGCAAAAAGGTGCGGATCCTTAAGATTTGAGAGGCCAAGGCCATTGGAATAACAACAATACGGCGGCCATTTGTTGCTTTCCATTTTATGTTTATAATGGCAAAAGTTTTGAGGGTTGCCTTTTAATGTCTGTGATATTTGAAAAGGCCCGAGGTCAGGTCATTAAAATGGCAGAAAGGTTGACCACCCGACTTTTCTGCTTTGTATTCATTAAGTAATTGAGGGAAAGGTAGACACAAAGCATCTGGGCTTCTTCTGTGGCATAAATTATTTGTATACTAATTTAATTATTATTTAATTTGTCATGGTGATGAGTTGCGTGAGTTAACTTTTTTATGACTCTTGCTTGAGGTATTTATGCAGTTGTCTGACTTCCATTTGCTGCACGAAGTAGAGGATTCCAGCGAAAGTTAATATATTTAAAACGAGCTTAAGGTGTCCTGCAATAATGACCAAATTAAGATAGGTGGAATTCTTTTTTCGTAGCCTGTCACTCATAAAACAAATGGAATCTCGTTGACGGTCGCAAATACAGATTCCTGAAAAAAACTTTGTAACGAAGTATTTACATTAGTAAAGTAAAGATAATAAATAAAGTTTATATTTTATGCTACCAACCATTATGTCCAGAATATCCAACTCTTTGAAGGCAACCCCTTTCCATTTATTTCCATCAAGAAATTCTCTCATTTCGCAACCATTTTCATCCGACTTAAAATTCCAGCTTTTTTTCATTATGTTGAGGTATTCCTCCTGCTGTAAATAAGCTGCAGCAAGAAGCAACATCCACAAAGCCAAATGCCAGGATAATATAAGCAAAGATTTCATCAGCGGATTCGTGGGAGTTGTCAAGTTTTCCTGGCCATCCCAGATGGCTTCATCTTCCAGATCTTCTTGGCTCTTTTGCTGTTGCACAAACTCATTGGAATCAAAACGAAAGGACTGCAGAAATTCAGCTATCCGAAAAGCCACTATACATAAGTAGCATATATAAGACATTCTAAAATAATGACCAGCCAAGATATTTATTCTTTTTTGAATGGAAAAAATGTTATGGATTTGGAACTGAAATAATTTAAGATTCCTTTGCAATCTTAGCTCCCTCAGGGATTGAAGCCATCCTGCATTCATCAGATGATATAGAACATGCAACGCCATAATCAACACGAACATTATTCGAGGTAGTCCCATAATAAAGTTGGTCATCTGAAACAGATCGGCTAGGGTTATAGTTTTGGGTTCACCATTCATTTTTGGCCAATTTAAAACAAGTATTTGCACTCCAAAAATAGTTAGCAAAAGCAGCAAGAGAATTGCGTAGATGAAAATGAGCCAGGAACATTGCAGGATTAATTGTTTTCCCAGAAGGGATTTTAGATTTTTATATGCCAGTTGAGCCTCATTTATTAATTTCCACAGTTGATCCTTTTTAACCAAAGACCAAATTAAAGTCAGAAAAAAACAGAGGCTGGTAAAATTTTCGTTCCACAATTCGGTTTTACTTCTTAGAGGTCTTTTTTCAATATTAAGATTGTTAACTAACTGACTTTCTTTTTCCCAATGACTACTTACAGCCCTGTGCAACAATAATATTAAGGAAATAAATATGGCTGGTAAAAATCTGCACAGGTTGGCTTTTTGTTGATATAGTTTTCGAGATTTACTAAAACGTAGCTGAAGAAGTCCGAAGAAATGCAAGGGAAATCGCAAAACTTTCACAATGTTAAAGATGAAGCGAAGTCGTGCCATTTCGAAAAACAACTGAAACTTCCAACGAACTGCTATTCTTACCATAATTACTCTCCGCAACCATTAAGTAATTGTTAATTAAGTTAATGTGACTCATTTTGCTGTTTATTATTCACTTGTACTCATCATAGAAATAAAAGCGATAGACTTGACTAATTGTTTGGGTCACATTGCCATTGAAATCGTCCTGCGACTCATACTCGTAGTCCTGAACTGTCATGTTTTTGTGGAAAAGTAAGCAAATAAATAGGAATAGCAGGAGTTCAAGGATGTGGGTTTTTAGGCAACTCGTCAGCATTGATAAAGGAATTCCAAGCTTAACACTTTTAAAGCCAATAGTTGTTAAATAAAAGGTTGTTTTGGTTAAGTGAACAGCAGAATAGTTATTGGAGAACTGAAAATAGTTTTCCTGTTAAATATTATATATTAATGACAAAAATATAATTAAAAACTCACCATCATGGTAACCACATCCTGTTTGTACTGCACTTTTTCATGTTTTCTCAAAAACGTTACACCAAATGCCTTCGGCAAAGTTCTGTGTGTCAAAAGACGCCAGGATTTCAAAACAAAATTATTGGGATCATCTTTTAATTTTAAGTAATTCTTCTGAAATTTACGATGCTGTTTTTGTAGGTTGCAGGCAATTTCAAAATATAATGCCAATAAGAGTAAATGGATCGTTAAGGAAACCATTTGAGCGTACACTTGTTGACCAGAACTGTGAAGTATGTTGCGAATTTTAACTCCTGGTTGGATCATAAAACTTATTATATGAAGGGCAAAATATCTGGAAACGTTTCGATGAACTCGCCAAATAATTGGTTTCTGTCTTAGCACTCCTTTTAATATATACAATCTGTCACTTCTCATGTCTTGGCAGAGAAACTTATTCAGAGAACTATAGATACAGTTTAGCCAAATGAGATAGTTTCCAAAAAACAAGAGCTCCAAGTGGTAGATAAATCCCACGCCGAAGATGAAAGCACTTTGATATACCGAATATATTCTCATTTGCCATATAAGAAGCAAAATAAGGAACACTATTAGAAGTAAAGTGTGTATGCATTCTCTGCGTATCCTTACACACAATCGACTGCCAAGAATTCGTTGCATTGATTTATGCACACCAACACATTCATTTAAGAGCTCCGTAAGATGTTTTCTCAGGATCAAAAAGTATAAATAAAGAGGTATGTAAAGCAGGAACACAAACTGATCGTGGATCCACCGATAACTGAAGAAGATATAGAGCCAACTGGCGAACAAGTTGACCACAGCCATGACTTGCACATAGAGTTGCTCATCGCAAGTGAATTTCCCCAGCTGCTCCGCATAACCCACATTATAAAAACCCAAATATAGTCCGATCCTTCCAGTCTGATACCACACACAAATCAAATGACACAGACAAAAACCTCTGGCCGTTGCGTGTTTCTCCATTTCTGGTAATAAACTAAGTAACTGAAATATCAAAAATTACATCGGTAAAGGTCATAAAATGTTCATTACATGAATTGGGAGGAATACGAAACCATTACGCATTCTGTGATGACATGGTAAAGCACGATAAGATATAATCGTACAAGTTCATTAAAACAATTTGGGAATTGGTTGACCAAAATATCTTTTTGTATCTTGTGACATTTCATTTATGATGAAAAAATTGAAGCAATTGCCTTTTGAAAATGAAAACATTGGAGTTGTTATTTTAAAGTGCACAACTGATATTCAAATTCATTATTTCTTTGTGAAAAGTTTTTAATTTATTTTTATTCGGTTTGGTTCATAAATATGAAGAGCATCAGCCACTATCAATTATATTCCATTGTTAACATACCTCTCAGTGCTTTTTACCCCTATGAGAATTACTTGCAAAAAATAACGACAATCATATTTTATGCTCTGTTTATTTGCCGAGTTGTACTCTGGACCGCTTTAACAGTTGGCTCTCGGAAGAGGATGTGGATGTGGATGTGGATGTGGCCACGGATATGGCTATGAAATGGGTAGAGCACTTAAAAGGGCATAAAGCCATAAGAGGTCACCACGTCCTTCTCCTGGAATTCCCGATTCACCTCTATCTCTGTCTGGCCATCGCAATCGCACCGGAGCTCATTCTCCCCCGGTTGGTGGCATCTTGGTCCAACTTTTTTCCCCGACTTTTTCATCGCCCGGCAAATGGTTTTACACGCATGTAACTTCCCCAGACCCGCATTCATATACGAATGCGAGATGGGGATCTCCATTCCACAGTGCAGCACAGCATGTGTGGCCGCATATAACAATGGCAAAAAGTGCATGTTTTTATTACAAATTGCAATTGTGAAAAATTTTATACATGGCCGCATCGTTGTCCTCCCGTCGCCGCATCGTGTCACATTCCGGTACCTTTGTCCTGTAGCCGTCGTACTACGGAAAAAAGGAGTGGCCAAACAGTAGGAACCTCGGAGTACACTGGCAGAATAAGCAAACCATAAATAAATAGGCCTTTTATGTAAGCAAAATAAAGGCTGGGCTTAGAATTTATTTAGCAAAGCTTAATAAATATGTTCAATATCTGACAAAATAGGAACCTAGCTGTACACTCGCAAAATAAATCTAATCATAAATAAATGGGATTAAAAAAATATTTATATATTTGGCAAAGCTTAATAATTTAATTTCCAGTTTTGTTTATATTGCTGAAAATATATTAAAAAGTTTTTATAAAATAAGGAGGAAAAAATATTGCTTTCTATATTTAAAAGAAGAGTTTACTGAAAAGTGATCTTATATTTTTTTTTTTAAGCAAGATAGATAAAAATATTTGAGATAGTTTCTCAATGACGATAAATTGGTCTTTTTCGGGTGCACAAAAGGGTTTGAAGCTGGGTGTCGCCAAAAATAAACTGCCACATAAAACTCTACCGCACATCCTGTCTGTGTCCTTGCCACTCGGGCTCCAATTTTTTTTGCCTGCTGCGTGCGGCATGCATAAAGCAAATGAATTTATTTTTCGACTGCCATTTTTTCAATTTAAATGCTTTTTGCCTTTGGCTTGTTGAGAGTCTTCCCTTACTTTTATTTTTTTGTTCGCTTTAACTTTTTATTGGGATTTTCTTTTTGATTCGACGCTTTATCCGAACATTTTTTTCGTCGATTTGACTGAGCTATAAATTTTTGCATATTTTCATTAGTTGTCAGAGATGCTTTTGATGATTTATGCATGTTTTTGATGCTCTTTCGCTCTTTCTCGTTCCACATGCCCTTTTTGCATTTTTTGATAGCACCAGCCAGCGATAAAAATAAAACAAACAAACTTATTAAAAATGTAGTTTGGTAAGGCAAAGTTTTTAAGCTAATGAAAATTGCTGCAGTTGTCAGAATGTTGAATGTGGACAGCTGCGCACTGAAAAATCCTGTGGATTCGGAAGCTGAAGAGCAAAGAAGAGTGGAGTTGAAACTGAGTAGCAACTTTGGTGGTAAAAATTGTGGAAAATTTTTGTACAATTAAGCTATGAAGAGGCTTAGAAAATTAGACGAACTAAAAAGTTTAGAGGAAGCAAGCTTTATAAACACAATAATATTACCCAAACAGTAATGATATTAAAAGCTGGAAGTGAAAGGGGGTGAAAAGTTTTACAGCCAGAGTAGTCCAAAATTTATAATTTTGAATTAAGAATTAATTAAGAATAATTGGTGTCTCTAAAGTTTTATACATGTTTGCTGTCAAATCCTGTGAACAACTCCTTTAAAATATAGAATATTAAAAACAGCTATCTGATCGCTTTAAAACTGCCTATTTTTCACAAAGAAACCCTGAATAATATATAAAATAATATAATAAGGGAAATAATTGGTTACTCTAAAGTTTTATATATTCAAATCCTCTGAACAACTCCTTTAAAATATAGAATATTAAATACAAAACTGCCTATTTTTCTACTTTAATCAGAAATTTCACAAAGAAACCCTGAGTAATATCCCACTCTTTTGCCGTTTCCTAATGACGTCTTATTTAACTGCCGTCGTAAATTCGCACTTAATAAAGTAGTCGACGGATATCTGGCATCTACTTCGGTTAGGTGTGATGTGGCTCAGACGGCAGCTGCTAACGCTGATTGTGATGTTTTCCAACGCCTACATTCCTGCAGCTTTTCCTTTGCCGACTGACGTCTCTAATGATTGTTTGACAAACATGCCCGGCTAACTGTCTGCCTTTTTTCCTGCCCAGCTGCCTTCCTTTCTTCCTTCCGTTTATACTCCAACCCAACAGCCTAGTGTCCCGACTTTGGCCAGTCGAAGCTCCTTTATTGAATTCCAACGTGGCGTCCGGACGGGTCCTTGGTCGTTGGTCCCTTCTACTGGCTCCCAAGTCCTTGGGCATCCGTGCTCGGGCCGACATGTACAGGATTTTAAAAATGCCACATAAAGGCGCTGAACGCTACGACACGAATTCAAAATTGAAATGACAAAGTAAACGGCGAGCAATGAAAGCTGAGTAGAAAAGTAGATACACCTGAAAGAAATTGTTGTTAAAAGATCTTAATTAATAAAAGAAATAAGGCTACTGACAGACTGGCATATGAAAAGTAATTTATCTGCTAAATATGGTTATTGCATTTTTTGTAGATTTTTTGGTATGTTTACTCAATATCAATAATCAGTTTATACAATATCAATAATTATAATTATTGGAGGTAACTTAAGAATGTTTTCCTGAAATTTTCCTGACATTTAAGACAAATAATTTAGGAAATCTTTTTGAGAGGCTCAAAATATGATTGTATGATCTAAAAATCTGTTTAAAGTAGATATATTTCCTAAGAGAATTAGTTTAACCTAAGATTTCTTTGAGTGAAGAGTGGTTAGCAGCGTATAAAGTCGCCCAAGGAAGGAGCCGCTTGAGTTTGACAGTTTTGGGTTATGCTGCGATGAACATGGCCGATATGCTGCCATGCAAATCTCCTTCGCAAGTGGCAAGTGGAAAGTCGAAAGTCGAAAGTGGGTAGTGAGTAAGCAGCGATTGAGACCTGAACAAATTAATCGCCATTCGGCGCTGAACTGAAAGTCAGGTTTGACCGAGTTTACACACTCTCCACTTTATTTTTTTTTGGTTTTTCCGTTGTCGCTTTTTGCGAAGGTGGGCTTCTGCGGCGAATTCCCAGTTTGCAAATAAATTAGTTTGCTACGTGAGCGACGCAAATCTGAAGTGGGTTTGACAGCGGGTTCTACGGTTCAGGACAATTTTTAAATATTTAAGCGTGTGCAACTTATCGATTTGCGGACTGACTACAGAGTCCGCTAATTGAAGTGGTTTCAGTGTGCGACTATGCCATCAATTATCCGCAGCTCCAGAATGCTTTTTCATGCTAAAAGCATTTGCCCAGGGTTCCAAGACCAGGGTAAACTTACACTGAATAAAACGGTCAGAAAAAATATAAATATATCTACAATAAGATATATATTAAAGCTTTGTTAATGACTGGAGCTCATTGAGCATAATTAAAATATTACTTAGGTCTGCCAGATTTTTATTTTATTAAACTTTCAGATTGGACAATCTATTCCTCCCCCAAAATCATTCGCGCCTTTCTGTCTTTCAACAGTCCGCTCTGCTGCTTTTAAATTAAATGCTTAAATTCCACTCCAGCTAAGCTGTTGTTATATTTTATCCCTGTGTAGCCATCCTCACATTAGAGCTAAGTACTCACCAAATTGTTATGGCGCCCCACTCGCATTTTTGCTCCTTTGACTGCACAACTACGCGTCCTGTTGCCGTCGATGTCGTTAGTCCAATTAGTTGGAAACATGCCGCTGCCATCGCCGTTGCACAAACTGCTCTGCGTGTGGCACATTGTCAGCTTCTTCGATTACCAGAAGAAATTACGCCTTCTGTTGAGTTCGTGCAACCTGCAATACGATTAGAACACCCAGAAGTTCCGCTTTGACCATCAGGTGTTCAACTTCTAGAGCCTCATTTGTCTTTGGTTTTCCTTTGTCTTACTTGTGGTTGATCACATCATGTCCGCTTGTGTTATATAATGATAAAGAGATCTCTGCTAAGGCCATTGAAAGAGATGCCCCAGTCAAAAATGGGAACTACGTTTTGTGTGTCCGTAAAGCGGGCCTTTTGCTGTTCCTGACTGATTTCCATTGAATTGCAGTTGTTTATCTACTAGCAAAAGAAGTAAATAATACCCCCAGAGTTTGATTGTATTTCCCTGCCTGTTCTGCTGGCATCTGTAGGCCACCTACGCAGTTATGAATCAGGAATTTACAACCCAGCTGAAGAACAAACCATGCCGAGAAATGCTCAGCAATTTTTACAAAATGCATGGTCGTCTGGAAAAGATTCAGCAAGATATCTCTCATTATTTCAGTGACTATCTTTCTCATTATTTCATGTACTATCTGTGATTAGACTCATTTCCGTAAGTTTCAACAAATTTGTCAGCTTTCAAGCTGACTTTGACTGGGATTAAAACCGATTGGTATTGTTAGAATTGGAGTTCTGTCAGATCAGTTATTTGCCAAATAAGTTCATCCCAATCGGACTGTATTTATGATTGTTTTGTGCAAAAGTGGCGTAACTTTACCCTCTTTCAAATTTCAGACTTGGAACCTTTAGGTTTTAAAACTTTACGTTGATTTCGTATGTACTGAGCCAAGCAGTGGGAAAATAAAATCAGCAAAAGCCAGGACACTTGCCAAGCCCTCGAGAAATAATTATGCAAAGCACGTTTGCTGTGTGGGTTGCACAACCGAAATAAAAAAGAGCTGAAAGCAAAACCAATAAATCAAAGGAAAAAGGATGCTAACCCATTCATTACACAGCAAACACTCAGTGGGCCTCAGCCACTTAACCCATCTATCTGAATACATACAAAATGTCAAACTGGAAATCTATTAAATCACTCGAGGGGCTAGGAGTTGTTCGAGCCTTAATTAGCTCATAGCTGTGCAACGTGGCGTATGATTAACACGCGAGTAATGAATGTCATCGCTGCACGGTTAACAAAATTTAAAAGAAAATATTACCTATAAAAGAAAATGTTACCTTTAATTATGGAATGGATTTATGGAATTTATTTATTGAAATATGTAACCAAAAAATGGTTTTGAGAATCCATGTTGTTTGGTGGATTTCGTATTTTTGGAATATATTGATATTTTATATTATAAAAATTACATTTTGTTTGTTTTATTTTTAATACGACTTTGTTTCCTTCCATTTTTTTATATTTTTATATTTCTATTTTCTAAGCAACTATTTCCTGTGTGTACCTATAGCCGTGTCCCACTGCCTCTGACATCGTTCAGCTGTGAATGATTGAATTAAAATCCATTCGGCGGACCTGGCATAATCAATGGAATTATGGCCCGGCCACGCCCACTTCAGTTCAGTGCACAGGCGGAAACTATTTCCGTGATTTCTAATTTTGCGAGCAGAGTCCCGCGAGGTCAGTTGACTGGAAAATCTTTCGATTAACTGCATTCGGAGCGGGCCCTGCAACATTAATGAGGCACGCCCCCGCCCATTAGTAGCCCCATTGTCGTACGCCCACAAAAACACACACACCCACACACACACACACCTTACACACCCACACCCATCCAATTCGAGCTTAATTGATATGCATGTGAGTGGGTGGGCTGGTAAATGCAATTTCCTTGTCGCTTCTACAGCTGCATCCTCTAATGAGTTCGAAATAATTCCATGTTATGGCCCAGCTATCTGTCCATCTATGAACACCCCATTAAAGCCCCCAAAATCATTTGATATGCGGCCCAATAAATTGTGCAGTTGGGCGAGGAAAAAAAAACAACAAAAAACAGAAAGCCCTAAAAGTAGTAAAGGACCACAAAATAGGAGCGGAAAAATGGAGGATAGAGCAGAAAAGCAGAGCTTACGTATTGCAATTTGTGCAAAATGCAAATTTCCTCACTGATGACAGCCGCAATTTTGTGCTCCATTGTTGTTAGTGGCACTCGGGTTGTTGTTGTTGTTGTTGTTATTGTCATTGTTGTTGTTTGCGAACGTCCATTGTTAAGGACATGAGTGTGGACTAGTGACTATGTGTTTGTCTGTATGTTTGGACGGACACATGTCTACAGGCGGGGGTAACTAAATAGAAACGTAATCAAATCAAGAAATTACAAATAATTATAAATGTAAAAACATAAGTTAATTGCAATTAAATTATTTGCAAATATTTGAAGTACTCTTTTCTTAATAACAAAACTTAGATTTAAGTAACTCTACTTAAATATTAAAAATAAATATAAAACATAATTAAATCAAGAAAATGTGTTTCACAAATAATTGTAAATATAAAAACAAAAATTAAATACAATTCAAATATTTAAGAATATTCGATATACTCTTTCCTTCATAACAAAACTTATATATTTATAAGTAACGATTTTTTAAATATTAAAAATAAATATAAAGGTAAAAATATAAATATAACAAACACATTATTTCGATATCATTTTTGTATTTATTATGAACATATGTGCCATGGAACTTATATATAGTTTGTCTTGAATTAAACGATCTTACAAGGAGTAAATATATTAAAAGTAATATTTGGTAGGAAACCACTTTAAGACCTCTTCTAGTGTCTTAGCCTTGATTGCTTGGATGTCAGACAGCGTTGGGCACATACCAATGAACACACAGCAGCAGGCCGGGCCAAAAGCCAGAGCCGGTTTAAATTCCTGACTAGCAAATGTCTGGCGGCCATTGGCCATTGGCCACCGGACAACACAACAATGGCTGACCAGCGTCAGCATTAGGGCTCCTCCCCTGATCCTCCCCTCATCCTTCCCCTCGTCCGCCTTTGATTAACAATGATGGGCATTATTTTTGCAAATAAATTCTGATGACTTCGAGGAGGTCAAGGCAAGAGGAATGTGCTGTTTGTCCAATCGTTGACATTTTTCCATGCTCAAGTTGCACTTTATTGATTTATGGCAGTCAGCGTCAATCATTGGGCTCTGTGTGATGGCCAGGCATTCAGGCTGTTAGGCTGGCAGTCTCATGGTTGGTCATAATTGCACATTTGCTAAGAACAACAAGGACACACTATTACATCCCTGGCGGAAGCTTTTAAGCAAACAGGATGTGCTGTGCATGTGTGTTCTTGTGCAACAGCTTTGGGAACAATACTTACAAGTCCGAGAAGTTGAAGGCAAAACGATGCATTTGTTATGCAAAGCCTTTGATGTTGTCCTTGGACCAAAGTGCTGTGTGGATGCAGATGTAGATGACAAAATGATTTTGCAGTAAGCGGGGAAAAACACTTTTTCCTATTTATCGGAAAATGCTCTTAAACTTTCGAGTCCAGTTTGAGGAGTTTGAAGCCAGGCCAAAGGGGTCAACGGCGAAAGCAACTTGGCAGCCCACCGAAAGTTTTCCAAAACCAGAAAATAAAGAAAGCACACAACAAAATAATTAAGGTTCTTCAAAACTTATTGACGTTTTTTGTGAGCGGGTGGCGGACCAAGTTTATTTTTCAGAAAATATCAGAGATAATAATAAGGCGGGCCCAGAAAAAATATTTAAAAAAAAAGAACAAAAGCCAGGAAGTGGCCAAAAGTACGGAGCACAAAAAAAGGGACGCTTAATAAATATAAAAAACCCAGCTAGGATAGATAAAAAATAAGAGAGAGCGGGAGTTAATACCCTGCTAAATTCCTACATAAACGAATGTCTGGCGCACTTAGCAGGCAATTGCGAGATAATTTAATTATGCGCCACTCCTGGCAGCAGCCTCTGCTCCAGGATAACAGGATAATGATAACGCAATAAGCAAACCAAAAGGGCTTACACCGCATTCAGGCCATAAATGCTGGGCTACAAGAGGAGAGTGCAGATAAAGCGAAATGAAAAATGGCAAGGAAAACCCACACAAGAGTGTGTGTCGCAGACCGATAACAATAATATCGGCGGGGTGGCTTAAACAAATTGCACCCGACTTAATTGCCCAACCGGAAGCGTACAAAACTTGTCGCCGGATGCGATATATTCTATGTGTTTGCCACCGGACAGGTAACAGCTGGAAATGCCAGCGAAAAACCATGGCCATGGGACATTAAGCATAATTAGCGTGGAAATAATTTATTCAAGAATCGCAAGAGGTCAATTGCGGGCAACTCCACTAATTGCCGTTCTCTCGTTTTACACATTTTCATTTTGAAATTCGGTTTCATTTCCATCATAGATTATGCAAACTTTCGAACGGGTGTCACATGTGCATCAGTTGTGAATGATGTTTTGCGGTAAAGCTAATTTTGCAGAGGTTAAACTATTTGGCTTACACAGAAATTAGTTTGCCTGCCAGTGGCCTTATTCACTGACATTGTTTGGGTAATTTATTAGTGGTAAATTGTTTAAGATAAACGCAAATTAACTCCTAGCTATTTACACTTTTGAGTTGATAAATGGTCAAGTTTAAAGATGCCCAATGGACATAAATTAAATATGCAATTAAAATCTAATTACCGTTTAAATATTTAGTAATTCATTAATTAATTACAGAATTCCTGTGGTGGAGCCTTAAACATGGATACATACAATATATTATTTTAATAATTTATAACTTTGGCTCTTCAAATTTTCCTGAAATATGCATATACTGCTTGGTTTACCAATTTAAAACTTTCATTAGTTTTTCTTAGAAACCAAAACTTGCCCAAAATATTTTTCACAACTTTTTTAAACTTTTAATCAAACAGTTTTTCCCATGCCTTCTGGGAAATCCACCTATCCCAAAATGGCTGCACTTTAAACGGGCTTACTAGATTTTTCCATTTTCAACACTTCTGCACATAAATTTTCGCTTTCCGTTGGCCAAAGGATCGAGTATTCTCCACCCTATATCCCCGCCAGACCAAAAGCCATTGGGCGATTTGGCTTTAACATTACGGTTAAGCATGCATGTCAAGCACATTGCCACACTGAGGAGTTTGTTGCCCCAGCTGCAGTTGTAGTTGTAGTGTTGCGGCACTTGCAAATTTCACTTGCAGCGGCAGTTGCCGAAGCAGTTGCAGTTGCAGGAGCAGCAGCAGTTGCAACTTGTGTTGGTGTGTCACCCCCAGGCGAAACGCCTTGGTGCCCCCGTTTCAGTTTCTTGTGCAATAATTAAGTGAGTGCCAAGTAGAGTGAAGCGTGAAGCGTCGCGGCGCTCTCATTTTCCCATTTACCGCCGGAGCCCTCCTGCAAATTCATGCGTAAACAAAACAAGCAAAAGCATTGCATTTTAGGGTATCGACTTTCAGATACCCTGTAGACATCTAGAGAAAAGGCAACATGGCAACATCGTTGGCTACTTTTTGGTGTTAAGAAAGGGGTGGTTACAAGTTAAGCCTACTTACTGACTGTTTACAGCTTCAATTAAAAAAGGAGTATATAT